GTCAAGAATCGCAATGAGGGCACCGTACCTGCGATCTGTGGCACGGCGCCTTGGTTTGGCGCACTGAAAAGTAAGCGCGCCCCTGGGACACTTTCCCGTTGCCGGGGGATCCGACGAAGGAGGCGGCTTTTCCTCCCACAGGAAGGTAGAACCCCATCGAGGCTCGCTTTTCCTACATTTTCGCGTTCTTCAGTCCGGCATAGCCATTTCTCGAGTACTTTCAAATGAACAGACGAGGAGGCTCAAGGAGTCAGCCAGACGGCGCAACTCAAGGCTTAAGTCCGTCGCGACGTCCCAGCGCCTATACTGTTGGCAACGATTGGTTTTCGACTGAAATCTAGACACCAGTGGTCTTTCTTGTACACGACGCGCAGAGAATGATGGTTACTCCGTCTGAAAATCCGGATAGCTTGCCTTGGCGTTCGTGCAGTACTGTGGTGAGTCATGCCTCACCCCACTTATTCCCACCCCATTTCCCGCCCGAGTCCCGCCCAGCGGGGCCGACCGGCACCGCACGCGTGCGAGTAATTACGTTTTACCATCAGTTGGCAACAGCAGCAGCAGCAGCAGGTTCAGCAGGTAGCAGTAGCCAGTAAGATAGCAAGTTAGCGCAGCCAACGATAGGACAGCGAACAAACGAGATAGCAGAAGTAGCTAGGGGCCTACTGCAGGCAGCAGCAACAACAGTGAGCGCAGCAGTCAGCATGCAGCAGCAAGCAGCAGGTCAACTAGCGCACAGCAATGCATCCAGGCAGGCAGCAGCGAGTAGCAGCAGAGTAGCAGCAGCAGCAGATCAGTTACAGTTAGCAGCAGCAGCCAGCAGCAGCAGATCAGCCAGCAGCAGTAGTAGCAAGAGAGCGGCCACCCCAGCACCAGCAGCAGTAGCAAGTTAGAGTACGGTGTAGCAGCAGCAGCCAGCAGCCGGCAGGTCAGCTACGCAGCAGTAGCAGCCTAGGCTAGGGCAGCAGCAGACAGCAGCCAGTCAGCAGCAGTAAGCAGCAGCAGCAACTACAGACAGCAAGCGAGCAGTAGCAGACAAGGCCAGTCACCCTAGCCTGCAGGCAGCAGTAGGCTGCACTGTGTCTACCACAAACGGCGACCGCCCGCGTGCGCAGACTGTTGCGCTTCTCTCATTCGACCAGTAGAACGATTCGGGTAGGTGGACGGAGTAGCACGTCCTCGTGAGGAACTAAGAGATGGGGCGCCCCCAGAGGAGAGGGAGGGGCCAGAGAGAGAGAGAGAGGAGAGGAGAGAGAGAGACGAGGAGAGAAAAAAGAGGGAGGGAAGGTGGTGGAGAGAGAGGACGAACGAGCGAGCCGAGACAGCCCGAGCGCCAGACAAACAGAGAGAGAGGATAGAGGAGAAAACGGGGAGAGAGAACGAGAGAGTGGCGAGACGAGAGGGGTGAGGAACCGACCTCCCTGGTAATTCCACATTCCCTGCGTCAGGGTTCGGGCGTCGGGCACTTAGCATTCTCCAAAGTCTATTACAGATCTCCCGGAGGGGGGAGGAGGTGAGAGAGAGATCTGAGAGACCGACAGAGACAGAGAGCGACAGAGAACAGAGACAGACAGCTACAGATATTTTGGGCCAAAAATAAAAAAATACGGTGCCCTTTATAGCTACTGTCTATTTCTTGCGGTGGAATCTTCAGGGGAAACGGTTACTGAACGTCTCATCTCCGCGCTGACCCAATCGCTTCACCTGCGGGGAGACAAAGCATTAGCATCAGCAAGCAACAGTTGAGCAGTGTTGGTCCTGGCAACAGTGAGCAATTGCTAACTGCTTGCTGATGCTGATGCTGATGCTTTGTCCCCCGCAGGTGAAGATGGTCAGCGGGTGTCTGTGAGCGAGGGCGGAGGCTGGGACGTCGGAGACGATGACCTTGAGCTGCCCGCTGACCTTGACCTAGTACTCGCTGATGGCGGAGGAGGAGAGGAGGGCTACTTTGTGCCGCCAACCCAGGGCGTGCCACAGACGCAGGTAGGCTGCATGCGTCACGACATGCAGGGACACATATTACACAGACAGACTACATAGACACGGACATAATTTAGACTACACATACATCATGTGCATAAGCAGCATCTATCTCACTCCCGTGTCTCTTCCCTGCAGGTGTTATACTCGTAAGCATCGTGTGCATACGCAGCATCTATCTCACTCCCGTGTCTCTTCCCTGCAGGTGTCATACTCATAAGCAGGATCTCTCTCACTCGCGCATCTCTTTCCCGCAGGTGTGGACGACCAACAGCCAGCTGGCCGTCGACCACGTGCTCGCCGGAGCGTTCGAGTCGGCGTGCCGGCTGCTGCACGACCAGATCGGTGTCGTCGCGTTCGCCCCCTACCGGCCGCTCTTCCTCGTCACGTACGCTCGCGCGCGCGCTGCGCACGTCGCCACGCCCAGCACGGCGCCGCTCTTCAGCTACCCGCATCGCAACTGGAAGGAGGCGGGCGCGAAGCAGGGCATGCCGGCGGTCGGCGTCAAGCTCAGCGATCTCATACAGCGGCTGCAGGTACGTGGAAAATATCGAGCGTCTGTCTGTGCATTTGCGTTTCGGTGCGCGTGCATGAGAGTGTGCATGAGAGTGTAGTGTTTGTTTATATACCTGCCTGTCTGTGTCTCTGTATTCTTAGTGATCTCATACAGCGGATGTAATAACAGTGGTGTAACAATGTAGCAGTAATAATAATAATGTAATAACAGTGGTGTAACAATGTAGCAGTAATAATAATAATGTAATAACAGTGGTGTAACAATGTAACAGTAATAAGAAGGTAATAACAATGATGACGCGTAAGGTTGGTGCTGTGTGGTGTGGGTGTATCAGTCTTTACTACTCTGGAGGAGTAGCCGGCTCTCTACATGCTCTTAACTCTCTCTCTCTCTGGTTCTCTGCAGGCGGCGTATCAGATGACGACGGGAGGCAGGTTCGGCGACGCCGTGGATAAGTTTCGCACCATCTTGCTCAGCATTCCTCTACTGGTAGTCAGCAACAAGCAGGAGATATCTGAGGTTAGCTTCCCTGCTCACGACACGCACGGGGGAGCAGGCGCGGTGGCAACTCTGTTGTTGCGATTTTAAATTCGTTAACGATATTGATAGCTTGATTTAGATTGATTTGACGAGCTGGACGTTTGTCTGTTTAGTGTTCGTATCGTCGTCACTCTCACTATATTGTGACTATTGTCACGTTAGTGCTTGTCACACCACCTGGCATCATCGTCATCAAAGTAGTCACAGTCGCTTTCATCATGATTTTCGCTGTCATCGTCACCGGCACTGTCATTTTCGTGATGGTCATGGTCGCTGTTGTCGTCACCCTCGTCACTGTCACTGTCATCGTCACGATCATAACAGCTGTGGTCACCACCGTCACTGTCATCGTCATGGTCGTCACGGCCGCTGTCATCGTCATGGTCGTCACGGCCGCTGTCATCGTCATGGTCGTCACGGCCGCTGTCATCGTCATCGTCGTCACGGCTGTGGTCGTTGTTGCAGGCGCAGCAGCTGCTCGGCATCTGTAAGGAGTACATCCTCGGACTCGGCATGGAGCTGCTTCGTAAGGAGATGCCGAAGGCGACGCTCGACCAGCAGAAACGCGTCTGTGAGATGGCCGCCTACTTCACGCACTGCCGGCTGCAGCCCGTACACCAGGTGGCGTGATTGTCCTCTTACGCGTGCGTGAGAGATAGAGAGAGAGAGAGAGAGTGAGAGAGAGAGGAGAGAGATAGAAAGAGAGAGAAGTGAGAGATGGAGAGATGGGGGTAGTAGAGAGAGAGAGAGCAAGAGAGACAGAGGGAGAGAGAGAGAGAGAGATTTGGAGCAAGTCGTAAGAGAAGACAGAGAAGTACATAGACAGATAAGAGTGAAGAATGTGCAGCATTGAACAAGGCCAAGCCAGAGAAATACAATAGGCTGTGTTACACTGGTAATGTCTTATAATAATAGAGAGAGAGAGTGCATGTGTGAGACAAGGCAAACCCAAAAAAGTTCAGATTCCTCCTGTGTGCATCCTACTGTTAGAACTAAGACCTAGATAACATGTGAGGTAGGAACATTTTATTTTTTCTTTGCTAACCCAACGACCTACAGCGGGCAGCGTGTTTAAACCTCATGCGTCCATCGTTGCAGGTACTCACTCTAAGGACCGCACTGAACCTCTTCTTCAAGCTGAAGAACTACAAGATGGCCGGGTCGTTTGCGCGGCGGTTGCTGGAGCTCGGACCCAAGCCGGATGTTGCACAGCAGGTGAGAGGTCGACTAGTTCTTCCCCGACGGTCCTTTCCCTCTTGTTGTGCTTTCTAAGTGTGCTAAGTCTTCGTCTCATTGTGCTCCCTAACAGTCTCCCTATGATGCTCCCCCTCCTCAGTCTCCCTATGATGCTCCCCCTCCTCAGTCTCCCTATGATGCTCCCCCTCCTCAGTCTCCCTATGAT